AGGCACATGACAGCAAAAAAAAAAAAAGGAAAGTGTGCTGCTTATATTCCATCTTCAAGCACTCTCTGGGTGGTCTGCAAGTTAATTATGCAGGCTGCACATTGCCCCTCCCACGAGCTGGGTACTCACCTCGAAAGGATAGAAGGCTGAGTCAACCTTGAGCCAACTACCTGGGATTGAGCCCCGGGTTGTGAGCACAGTTTTAGCTGCAGTACAGCAGTTTAACCACTGTGCCATGAGGCTACTTTGCCACATCAAAGTAGACTGCGGCCCCATCAGGCACTGAGGTATTTGGCCCACACAGTCACACACCAAATTCACCCCCCACTCACTGTGCCTGAAGAGACACAAATTAATACAAGCCTCCAAAAGTAACTAAGTTTTTTAAACTTAAAGCCCTGCCAACTAAGTCCCAGAGTGAGACACACACACAACCATAGGAATTAAATGTTTTTGGCAAAGGGATTCCTCAGTTATACACAAAATTCCCACCCACCCACTGTGAACACAAGCCTCCAAAAAAGAAGTAGCCTAAGCCAACTGAAATCCACTAAAGAAATCCCTCTACAAATTCCCAGTAAAATTCTACTAATGAAATAAATGAAATAAAATGAACAACAACCAAAAAAGTGTCTGCTTTGCTGCCACAGAAGTGAAAGAAGCACAGCCACAGCTAGCAAGCAAGCACTAGCCAACAGCAACTGTTCTCACTCTAGAGAGAATCAGAACACAAGTGGGAAATGGGTGTAGGGGAAAATCTTATAAAGCTTCTGTAAAAGTTACACCCCCCACAGCTCTTTCAGCAGCACTATTGGCTGCCTAACATGCCAATCAAGGATCTCCTGATGAACCAGAGCTTCTGATTGGCACCAGCAAGCTCAGAGATGGCATTGAGAGGCCTTTAAAAGGGTAACGAATACAGACAAATATTGAAAAATCGATGAATGAAACCGGGAAAATATTCATTAAGTTGTATTCATTGGGACTTAAAGTTTGATGAATACGGATCAACAAATATATGACAAATCAACCATGTTCATCAAAAATAGTGGTTTGTTTTTATATTCATCCCCCTATCAATTTGAAACCCATTTAGCATGAGCATGCCTACTACGGTTTGCAGCTTGGATGTACTCTTGGATTTATCTCTGAGCCTGGATGCCCATGTTTCAGTGGTGGCATTTGTACAGTGAAAACTGGTGGTACCAGCTATGCTTGTTCCTTGAGATGTCCAATTTGGCTACAGTGACACCTGCCTTAGTTATATCTCTCTTGGATTACTGCAATGTGCTATATGTGGGGCTGCCTTTGAAGACAGTTTGGAAACTTCAGCTGGTTCAAAATGCAGCAGCCAGACTACTGACTGGGCCCAGTTATATATGAGTCTGTTACAACTGCACTGACTACAGGTCTGTTTCTAGGCCCCTGCCCTCCTGCCTTGAGTCCTGATTCTTCAGCTACCACACTCATCCTGATTTCTGCCTCCATGCCCTGCACCCAGCCATTTTCCAAAGCAGTTTCTGCCTTGCCTCCTGTTGTGCTGCCCCAGAAGGGGGGGGAGTGTATAAATATGCCTCCTGTCAGGGACCAAGGACGAGAGGGTATAGCCTCAGAAGGGCAGTATGCCTCCTGCCTGTAAAGCCCATGGCAGTTTTCTTCAAGAGATATTCTGAACGAGCTGGACTTATTAACTTTGGGAGTGAAGTAACTCCCTGGTGCCCATAAGACTGTGTTGACCTGTTGAACTTGGATCTGTGGCTTATTGCAGGAGCTGGACCTACTTGGGGACTTGTCTACTACCTCCCCAAGGGGGCTTGGGTCCACAAGGACTTCTTCCATCCCCAGCTTGACAGAACCTGGGTCTGACAAGAACTCTGTTGCACCTGGCTCAGACGCGCCAATCCTGCTAAGGACTTCTCAGTTATCTGCCCAAGAGGCCCTGGCTCTGCAAGGGCTACATACCCACTACGTGTCAAGGCCTGGGTCTGCCAAAACGTATTTCTGTTTGGGGTCAAGCCAAAGCCAATTCTGTAAAGGACTTTTGGTGCAAGTTGTTTTCTCCCCTTCCCTATTTGAATAAAGCTTCTTCATCTGCAGAGACTCACTCTCTCATCATGGAGGGGCAATGGGAGGGTCTCACAACTGGTCATTACCAATAAGCGATTGGTATATAGATATAGATATAAGAATGAGTCGGTCCTCATGTTAGCTATTACTATTCAATTCTTTATTGTTTCTCTGACACAAAATTTAGCATGCTTATATGGAGACTATTCTTCTAGATGAAATCCTACTATGTTCCATCACTAATTTTAAAGTTGATTTTTACAAAAATATACAAGGGAAATGATACTGAAACTTTGCCAATATTTATAGAAGCAATATTTGTGTCTGGACTGTGCACAGATTCCCTGATTTGATTTATAAGTCCATTTAAAGCTTTTAGATCTATCCTGAGTTGGTCTGAAGTTATTTCTGCCCCATCTAACTCAATTTGTACCCTGGATTAGGTCAATCTGTTAATTTAGACTGCCAACCTCCTATTTACTTGAACTGGAAAACCCACCTGACCATAAAGTTTTTTTTGTTTTTTCTTGTGATCCACATGATTTTTTTCCCCGTGGCTTCAGTGACTTTAAAGGTAGGACTAACCATTCTAAATTCAAACCATTATTGTCAGCAGTTTGAAAAAAATGCATTTTAAAAATCTGATTGGAGAAAAAGGTCATCTTAAAAACTTTTATATTCATAAGATTCAGATTCTCCCCAATAAATTCATAAGATTCACATTCTCCCCAATAAATAAATTAAATGTGGAACATAAAATATAGAATATGGAACATAGAATATAGAATATATGCACATATCATAGAATATATGAAAAATAAATACTTCCTCACAGAGGTCAGATACATTCACAATTACACACACGTGCAGAGGGAGACAGATTTTAAAATAAGCAGGGAGAATCAATGTGAAGCAAGTGGATATGCCTACCCTGAATGGGTCTCTAAGCATCTTGGCTGCCCATATCCTCACCCTGTAAGTCCTGAAGCCTGAAATGGTGATGGTCTTTGCCAAGCAAAGATAATCAGTCATTCAAGTGCTTCATAAATAAATAAATAAATAAATGTGGAATATAGAATATGGAATATAGAATATATGCACATATCATGGAATATGTGACAAAATAAATACTTCCTCACAGAGGTCAGATACATTCACAATTACACACACGTGCAGAGGGAGACAGATTTTAAAATAAGCAGGGAGAATCAATGTGAAGCAAGTGGATATGCCTACCCTGAATGGGTCTCTAAGCATCTTGGCTGCCCATATCCTCACCCTGTAAGTCCTGAAGCCTGAAATGGTGATGGTCTTTGCCAAGCAAAGATAATCAGTCATTCAAGTGCTTTCTCAGTACTGGCTCCCTGAATGTGATTACAAACTCATCAGTCCAGATGCTATCTAAGGAAGTGGTACTCTTGGATCAGCTCATTCTCATGACAGCCTAGTCCAACCTGGAAAGGCCTTTTCAGAATTAACCTCCACCTCCAATGAAGCAGCAAAGGCAGAAGGAAATGCCCTCTCTGGCTGGAAGGAAATAGCAGTCTTGATTTTTCCTCCTCTTCTTTCTCTGGTCTGTAGAGCTGATATGGGCAAAGCTCAACTGTTGATCAGTTCTGTGCAGATATCAAAGCTTCCTGATGGGTAGCAAAAGTCCAAGAGAGAGGATGCATACTTATTGAACGAACATGAGATACCAGGTTTCCTCCCATGAGATGTAGAATGAACTACCTTTCTCCATCTCTGTAGACAAAGAGCTGCCAATCATTCAGTGCCTTCTCCTTGCCAGGCAAGGATTCAAAAGCTTGCCTGTTTTTGATATTTTAGCAGTCTAACAAAAGTACTGCCCAGCCTTGAGCTCCCCAAATAGGGCTCCTCACAACAGAATACTGTATATGATCAGAGAGATGTTTTGTTTCTTCCAGCTTTCACTTTACATTTCAAAAGGCAAGACAAGGTTTTCACAGGGGATGTGCATGAAGGGGGAAATGGCTGATCATGTGGCTGCTACACATATGCATCATGATCTACGAAGAAAGGAAGGAAGTTGGGGGATGATTGAACAGAAGGCCAGATACCAAATTGGAAATGTGGATTGGCTGAAACCCAGGGAAGAAACTAATGTGTGTATAAGATGTCATTAGATCATAAACCCATGTATGTTAGAGAGTTATGGCAGGGGAATAAGATATAAAAAGAACCCCTGCTTAATTCCTAAAGACCAATCACAAAATGAAGCAAGTTAATTTGCAAATTCTGGGTGGTGAGAGAAGCTTTTTTTTGTGACACTGTCATATATTCAGCTTTTAACTGCAATTTATCTATAACATCTGTTTCTGCCCTTAATTTGATAAGATAATGGTTTCATTGGCTGGAAATTTGGCTGATCTGTATGAAGTGACAATCAGTCCTGGATGATGTTTTACTCTGTTTGAGGTAAAGCAGCTTTAACTACTTCTGACGGCAATTTTGATTTTTAAAATATCAATTACATCTTAGGCTTCCTAAAACGTCTGAGATACATGTTAGGACTAATACGAGCTTGCCTCTGAAATCTCATCAAAATTATTTTCTCTGGCTCCAAGGACATGCTTATATGATATAGAGCTGACATCAGCTATCACAGTTAACAACCTTGGTTTTAAGGTCAAAGCCAAAATACATCGCTTAGATACAGACAGATTTAGACCAAGCAGGGTGCAAAACATTTAACAACTTTGCCTCAAAAGCCTCAAAACTTAGGAAATCTCTGTCTGTAGTGGTTTGCAAAATTTGAAAGGGATTTTCAGTTTTGTCCAAATGAGCTTCAGAAATGTTCCCTGAGGCAAAATATAGTATAGAGGCTCATGTGAAATGTTAAGAAGAAAAGGATGGGGAAAGAGAGACCAATAAAACAAGGACCAAATCAACCTAAGGTACAAAATTATACTTACTGTGGTCCAGCTGACCTGCTGCCCCAAGTCTGTAAAATACAAGGTAATGATAGAAGATGCTGCCAGGCTCTTTATGTTGACAGAGTCTTTCAAATAGGGCCCATCTGTAATAATAAAGAAGCAAGGAGAAATGTGTGTTAACCCAAACTCAGACAATGTATCTGTATGACACATTTGGCAGAGAAAAATCGCCTCACATCTTCTTCTTAGACCACAGACATACTAAGCCTAGCCACTACCACTGAAATTATCATGTGTTAAATCAATTCTCTGCCAGATTTCTGCAAATAATAATAATAATCATGAGCTATCAAGTCAATTCTGACTTTTGACAACCCTTTTCAGGGCTTTCTAGGTACAGAATAAACAGATATGGTTTGCCATTCCCTTCTTCTGGGGGTGTTCTGGGATTGTGCAGCTTGCCCAAGACCACACAGGCTGGCTCTACTTCCAGGAGGCACAGTGGGGAATTGAACTCCCAGACTCTACCTCCACAGCCAGATACCTAAACCACTGAGCTATCCAGTAGACAAGGCCAACCTAGGCCTGTAATAAGGCACCTGTGAGGGAGCCTCTTGGTGCAGTGGTTAAACTGCAGTACTGCAGTGAAGACTCTGCTCATGACCTGAACTCAGTCCTGGTCTTGCTAGGTAGCCAGCTCAAGGTTGACTCAGCCTTCCATCCTTCTGTGGTTGTAAACTGAGTACTCAGCTTACTGGAAGGAGGGCGGCAGAATCTATAAGCCTTCCATCCTTCTGTGGTTGTAAACTGAATATTCAACTTACTGGAAGGAGGGTGGCAGAATCTATAGCCTGCATAATTTAATTATAAACTAGCCAGAGACTGCTTTAAGCACTATGGGGCTGTATATAAGCAGGGTAATTTGCTTTTATTTCAAATCCACATATCCAGCACTGGTGGGATATCTAGGTTCCAGTGGAGTGCTCAAAACTAATTTTCAGGATGACCCATGTTCGGGTCAGCCACCGCTAAGTTCAGCATTCAAACTGTTTGTGAATAATGACTGAAGAATGAACAACAAATAAACACCGTGTTAACAAATAATCTCCTCAGGAAGGTTAATAATGGTCATAATCTTGCTAGTATTGTAATTTGTCCTAGCTAATTATGACTATGTAATGAGATCTTGGGACATGTCCTGGTTTTGTGTCTGGTTATCTGCCTGATTGTGCAACTGAAATGTGCCCTGACACCTTGGCAATTAACAGCAATTAGCTGCAGCAAGTTATACAAACTTCCTGTAAACATCAATAGGATTCTGGTCAATATTAGTCACTGACTAAACAACTGAGTAGGTGAATATAGCCACCATTTTACCTCTATAATTATCCAAGAAGGACTAGTACATTAATGATACATGACTGCTTCTTAGATCATTCCCAGGGGCATTTTATAACATGTATGGTAGGTAATAGGCCTTCAAGTGCCCCCAAACAGCTTCAACAGGTAAAACCCAAGAGGAAAATGAGTACTTACTACGTTCTAGTCGCAGACCGACACGAGATGGACACCACTGGGGACCTGCTCACAAATAATTGGAAAATGCATATTTTATGACATTTTAAAATGAAAAAAGGTATAAAACTCTATCAGGTTAGCAAAGCTATATATTGCCTAATCCTCCATAAGAAATGATAGGCTGGATCCAGATTTTGTCTAAGTTAAGGTAGACCTATTGAGAATCAATGGGACTTGAGTTGGTCCTAATTTCATTGACACTACTCTTATTATGTCATTATGTCGAAAAGTCAAATATCGACAAAGCGGTTAGGACATTTTAAGAAGAGGTGGTTCTTCAAGTGGTGAAAGATATCTATTTGTCATAGCACATAATTTATCCCAAATAAATATTATGCAATTCAAGTGCTTTGGTTAAGCTAAATACAGGCTTAATTTGAAATTCTGAGCACCAAGGCACTGTCTCTGAGGAAATCTTGTTTTAGGATGGGAAACAGATTAATCAGAGTCTCCTGCCCCATGATGGTTTGAATTGTGGTGTTTAATACTATGATACACAGCATTATTCACCCAAATAAAGTTCATTGTAGAAGGAAGCTGTATCTCTCACCATGTTTCAAAAAGAGCACAGTGAAAACAATGACCATGATCCTATTACATTTTTATGCTGATGGCATTGATGTAAATTGATGGAAATCTCAATGGTAAATTACCACAGATGAAGAAGTCTATGTACATATTTGCTGTTGATGTCTTGACTCATCACTCCTTACACTGGCTGTTTAACTTGTGACAATTTGCCACTGAAATTTATGTCAATTGAGTTATGCCGACAAATGTAAAAAATAGGATTCTGGCTACTGAGATTTAAATTAGAAACATAGAAACCTCTAGAGAAGCTCTGGAATAGAAGCTCACTTGAGAAAAAGATATATAAACCTCCCTGTTTTATCTCTTTCCTCCTGAAAAGGACAGACATCCTGAAAGTAGAATGCATCAAGATGTTTCATATCTAGGTTTTGAGGTCCTTAAATAGCAAAGGGCATCACGCGTGTCATTTAAGGTGGATGTGAATCAAGGGCCTGAGATTTCTCAAGAACACTTCTGAGTAACTGAAGGAGAGATAATGATATCATTTTGACAACCCTGCGTTTCACTGCCTGACAGATTGAAAAATGTTTCTGAGAAGAACCTGATCCATCTGGAAGATTTTCCTTCAGAAATGAAAAGAAAAAGAAGGTCTTATTCACCCCAAATGTAAGTTATTTCATGCTTCTTTCAATATCTAAAATTAGTCTCCTCTGTAAGCTGTTTGTCCTGCTATATTCAGCAACCGAATTTAGATAGTTTGTGAAAGTTTCTGAAAGCAATTGGCACCATTTTTTCATAAAAAAGGGAAGGTGGTTAACCAACTTTTAAAGTAATTGTTGGAGGCCCAAGTTGCTTCCAATGTATAGAGACTCTAATAGAGTTTTCAACATATTGTATATGAGATATTTAAGGAGTGCTTTACCAATGCTGTCCACACCCATTGAGTTTCCATTGCTGAGCAATGATTTAAACCTAGGTCCCCTGAATCCTTGTCTCTGACACTCTATCCACTATAGTACACCGGCTATCTCTTAAATAATGGGTTAGTGATAAAGATTACACTTAATTATATTTTTGAGCAAGTACAGGATATTGTTTATGCAACATCATCTTGGCTAGCCCAGCTGCATTACCAAGTAGGAGCCCATGTCTCCTCTACAAGTGCTATTCTTTCCCTCTGCAAAATCTTACTATTTTTTAAACAGGTTCATTTGAAGAATAATAAAAGAATCAATACATAGAACAGCAAATGTCTTGCTTTGAAGGTTCACATTGCTATGGCATTTATCAGACAGCACCCCAAGCAGATATGAGCTTATCTGCATACCACATCCACAGTACATAAAATGCTACAAGTGTGCAGATTTGTGTTTTTGGACTTAATAGTCCTGTGCCTGAAATATTACCCTTGATATGATTGATATATCTCTGTGTTGCTCCTACACTGACATTTTCAGATGCAACCATTTGAAACTGACCAGTATAGGGATTTGAAGTTGACAAAACCAACAAAGAGGGTAAAAAATCCTGCAGAGCCGGTGGTCCCCAACCTTGGGCCTCCAATTGTTCTTGGACTTCAGCTCCCAGAAATCCTGGCCAGCAGAGGTGGTGGTGAAGGCTTCTGGGAGTTGTAGTCCAAGAACATCTGGAGGCCCAAGGTTAGGGACCACTGCTCTAGAGGATAATACTTCAGGCACAAGAAGTGCATGACTGCCAAGCTTAATCTTGCAGAGGAAATCAGCAAGAAGGGCAAACATGCTTTTGTTCTGAACCCTAGGAGCAGAGCAGAAGAACACATTCAAAATGCAATCTGATGTATTGCAATAATATAACCTAACAACAAACTAGATCCCACAATTCAGGAAGAGACTCATGATTGGATTTGCCTCTGCAAAATGAGGGTCATCACAGCTTTCACTGTTTGTTAGTTTGCTCTTAATGACCAAGCAATGGCCCGTAAAGACTAATGTTCAGGCAATTTGATTGATAAGCAATGTTTGCTTGCATAGCAATAGTTAAGATTTAGCTTGGTTGTGATAAGGAATCCTAAAGAGAATGGCATCAGTTCCTGTGCAGTCTCTAGGTAATTATGCACAGGTTTTAATGGGAAGAAACTGAGGACATTTAGCCAGCTACAAAATCCTGGGGGTTGGGGGAGAAAAAAGGCAGAAAATCCTGGTGAAAGCTGTAAGATTGGGAACCACAGAAACTCAGAAGCCTTACTTAGCCCTGCAGTACCATCCTCAACCAGTAGCTGGAATATGACTCTGACCACCCCAGAGCTTTTATTTAGGAAAGTGGCTCCTATTAAATTCAGTTCTATATGAAGGCAGCTTGCTAAAACATAGATACCAAATGCTGCAGTGGGAGAAACTGTGACCACAGAACAAAAACATAGCAAGATAAGCAACAACGGTGGGACAAGTTGTCCCGACAACAGCTGAGACTCTGGAACAGGAACTTGAAAGGCAGGAAATAACAATAGGAGGAATGGTCACATCTGGAGCAGGAATGATCCCAGAGCAGCAATTTACAAGGCAGGTGCCCAGTAGCAATGGTTGCAGGCAGGAACAACCACTGGGGAGAAAAGGAAAGTTCTGCATTCTCCTATGACCTACCCTTGAATTATGGTTCTGATGCTGATCCCTTTCTTATCATTGAGTCAACATCAAGTGCTCACACCTACTGCCCTGCAATGAAATGGAAAGAGGAACTTCCAGGTTGCAGTGATGACAGGATTCAACTATTGCCTCCTTAGGCTCTCATGCCTGAGAGAAAGAGCATTTTGCTTCATGGAAGAAAAAGACCTCTGGGGAGGGGAGGGGAGGGGAGGAGAAGGAAGAGGAAGACCACTTTGGGTCAACAGTCAGCAAGTGAGTAAGGAGGCAGATGGAGTGTAGATATCTGAAAGAGAAAGAGGGCAGGACTGGGCCGGAGGCTGAACGGGTTTCTAATTCAGGCAAAGTGGGCACTTTGGCTAGCACAGACTAACCCTGAACTCAAGTAGCCAAAACAGCACATAAGGAGGGAGGACATGAGCTAGCTCAGGAGCTCAACTTGTTGTCTGTAGTTGTGCTTTGTGCTGACAAGTTGGAATTAACTTATAGCCACCTTAGCAAGGGTTTCAAGAAATGTGAGATATTTAACGTATGGTTTGACCCTATGCCCCACCCCCAGTGAGTTTCCACAGTTGAACCCCAGCCCTTCGCTTTATCGACTTTATCGACATTGGGTATCCTCAAAAGGAATCAGAGGGGAACTAAGAGAGGGAACATCCTCAAACCAGGTGATGCGGTCTGAGCATGCTCCCTCGAGGGAGCGGAATTCATGGAAGAAGGTTTGGCGGGTTGAGACACTGGACAGGACAGAAGCACTCAGTGCTTCAACATTTTGTTGTGTTCAAGTCCTCTTTGTCATCAGCAAAGCAGAGATCTGTCAAGAGCAAGACTGGACATCCTAGGCAAAAGAGGCGTGATTAAAGTTGGATTATCAGTAATGCAGTTTCCATAATAATAGGACAGAAGTTAGAGTGGCTTCATTATCAACACTACATATTGCAGATTATCCCACTTCTTGTCTGCTTACCTAAATGTGAAAAACTAGATTATGCTGATGCTAGTCCATCACCAGTTATGGATAGGGTGTCCTGAATGTTTTAACACTTATATCTGCTGTTTAATGCACTCACAAGTATGCCAGTAGTCCTTCCACATAGCCTGGTCTGGGCTCTTAGCCAGGTAGAGCTACCAAAAAACAACAACAACAACACACACACACACACACAAACCAAAAACACACAACCAGATACTTACATACTTTGTGAAATTTATGTTTTATATCAAGAAGGGTTGATGATGGTGGTATCTGAAAAGAGAAGTGGGGAGGAAGGAAGGAAAGAAAAAAAGGTAGCTTTTCAATATGCGTTTCTAGTTTTAAAAGACCACGAATGTGTAAGGAAATATAACAAGCCCTTTCAACTCAGCCTACTTTGTATTCCATTGTCACAATCCAGCTAAAGATTGATACTTTTAAGTCTGGTGGCACAATTGCAAAATATTTCAGCATTTGTGTAATATATTATTCAACACTAATGGGACTTACATGGACATCAGAAATGTTATTATCTAATGAAGAAGGTTAGTATTTTTGGAGTGTTTCAGTCCCTCACCCATCTCATTACACAGGTATGTTTGTTCAATTATTTTTAGGTTTTGAATACAATGGCATTTTGGCTTCAATTATACAAGATGAGCAAAATGTAACAACACCCTACCTAGGGTACTGGGGAACTAAGTGATCCTAATATGGTGAAACTGAAAACTTTTATTTGATGCCACTAGCATCAAATAAAAGAGCTCACCACTGTTACATTACAAAGATCTCCCCCATCATTATATTTTTGGGTCTAGAAATCTCAAGTAATGGGATGCTCTAATGCTGATAGGGCAGCATCCATATTTTACTCACATCTAATTTGTACCTGTAGCTCCCAACAGCAAGGATATCCACAAGCAGATTAACTAGGTATGCCTGTAATTATCTGATTAGCAATCTTTATGTTTTTTTAAAAAAATTAAGCATTAGAGTTTAGAAGCAGAACATGCAAACAAAGGATAGATTTCACATGTCCCAAAGAGTTATTCATCCCACTCTCTGAGGGTAGCTTTTTATTATTAATAATATTATCAAAATATAAGAGTTGTTCTGTTTTGAAAATAAAATTATGAGGTTTTGATTTGGTTTGATTTAGTTTGGTTTTATTGGCCCACTAACCATCCAGACATGCTTCCTTTTTTTAACCACATCTGTTTTCTATATCTCTGAATGTTAGCTTTGTTTTCACTCAGTGCCTCTAGAAAAGCCACAAGCAGGGCATGAAAATGCATATCTTCTACACTGCTTGTCCTCCACTAACCAAAATTCTGGCCTCCCAACATGCAGTTTCTTTATGAGTTGAATTGGTGAAACTTTACAAAGATTCCCTTGGTGGAATTCTAAAAGTGCAATTACTCAGTTTCTTAAACAAACACATCCCTTGGATCTTTTTTCTGACTCAGTCCAGCTTGACACTCCCATGTCCAACAGAGCAGAAACTTCCTTCTAACTGCTCCCATAGGTCTCCCCAGACGATGTCAAGAAAAGGCATGGTCTCTCCCAATCACTTGCAGCTTTTTCTCTATGCTATCTATTGTCCACTGCTATTTGAAAGAACCTAGTGGAATCATGTTAATGAAATCCTATGCAGTACACAAAACAGAGAGAAATGCTGGAGATCTTTCTCTGGGAGCTGGTGTAGTCTTGTAGCTAAGCAACTGAGCTGTGAATCAGGAAGTCCCTGGCTTGAACGTCACCTCTCCAGAGATTCACGTGGTCTTAGTCAACCACTCTGCCCCAGTCTCAGTCATTGTATGATATGCTAAAACTGATTTACCTTTTCGTCAACATTTGCACTGCCATAGCTGTTAAGATTTCATCACAATGACTCAGGTGAGTTCTTTTTGAATCATTGAAAGTCTTTAATTACATTCATATTGATTATTAATAATAAATTGATGATGATGATTGATTGATGATGACAATGATGACAACGATGTGTTAGTAGCAGTATTTGTATTAGAACAATGGTTACCAAACTTGGGCCCCAGGTTTCTTAAACTACAACTCCCAGAAGCCCTAGCAAGCAAAGCAAATAGTCCAGACTTCTCTGTGTTGTTCAACGGAACACCTGAAGCCCCATGTTTGGGAAGCACTGTGATAAAATCACCATCACAGCAGCACCACTACTGCAACATCCTCACTGCCTCCTCTTTGGCTTCTGAAATTTTATTACAGCTGATCTACTAGATTTGCACCCATCTTGCATTTTCTAAATAAATAAAAATTCTGATAACATTTTAGTTTTGCAATCCTGAAAAGTTAGGTCATGCTTTATAACCCAAGCCAATATGGAATATTCCATACATTCAATATCTGGGAATGCATGACAGAAGTGCAGGCACATGTGGATCATATAACATGCACACAGGAACTGTCCACATGTTCTCTCATTTGTGACTACAGTCCCTGTGACCCGCTGAGCACCAGAGTGGATGAGTTATAAGTCAGTAAATTAAACTTTCATTTTGCTCTGAATTCACAAGGTGATCCCAGGAATGCCATTCTATTAACCACAGCAACATGAGAATAATAACACTGAACTATTTTAAAGGGATATTTTAATGAAAAAGTACATGTGAAGCATTGTTCAGCTTTCTAAAATGCAGTGCAAAATGTGCTATCATTATGCCTCTGAAATGGCAGGCATAATTCATGGAACAGTGAACTCATCCAAATAACACCAGTTTAATATAATACTGTAATGTCAAACGCAGAGGTTATGGGAGCTGAATAGCAGGCAGGAGATAATTAAAGCAGCGTATATAAATGGATCAGGTTGCAAACCTGAGAGGAAGTCCCAACGAACACTGTGATCTTTGCTATTGCAGAAAGACGCACAAAATTATAGCCACAGACAGTCAATTGCCAAAAATGAAAAAGCAAACTGGTTCATTTGCTTCTCAATAATATGTTGACTTGCAACCTAGCCAGGCACTAAGGTAGAAAATTAATTCTGCCAAACACTCTCTTTTTTTTGGGGGGGGGGGCATTGTATTTATTTTACTAAACCCATCCATATGGTAGAAATAGAACGGAAATGATTTCATTTTGGTTTGAAAGTTATGGTTTGTGGAATGGAATGATGGTGATGATGTGCATTAATTGGTACCAGTCTTATTTTTTCACCTCAAATCACTACCATAGTTGCATTACGATCAAACATTATAATTTAATGACAACAAATATTCCATAGACATTTAACATCACAATTTGTCATGGAAAATGTTAAGGGTACAAATATACTCTGCTTCCTTTTATTACCAACGGATATGTTGCTCTGCAGACAATATTATCATAATCAGTAAGCAGGAGTAAACAGTTGTAAATTATTAGTTCTATAATGTATCTTAATATAAGACTCTTAATTCCAGGGGATGGAAGAATGGGGAGACAACAGCAAAATACACCCTCTATAAAAGCAAAATTGTTTGCTCAGGTCTTTCTGATTCTTGACCCGATCTTAAATTCACAGTACCACATTATAATGGACTTTTCACCCATGACCCCAAAGGGGTGGAATATATTTTATCTTACTTGCAGTTAAATTTAAATTGCAATGTGAATATCACATAGAAAGGGTACAATTTAATTCTGTCAATTAATCACAAAAACAAAGTGTCAGAAAAAAAATTATTTGCAATGCTAGAGAGGATAGGTGAACTAATATGCTGCAAAAACTACCAGTTTAAAAACTTCTGGTGATTGCATGCTTTCCACAGAAGTTAAAATTTTATTCACAACAGAACTAGGCTCTGTTACATGCACTTAGATTACAGATTCCACAGGATGCTGCAGAAAGTCACTCACCACAGATACTCTTTCTCTCTCCCTCTCTTACACATACTGTACATGCATATACAATCACTTACCTTCTCCACTACACAGATCTGCTTTTTGCTTTGGGCATCCAGAATTTCCACTTCAAAGTAAGTGATTTTTGAATGCCTTTGAATCGGTGGTGGTTTCAAATGGCCAGCAGAGAGTACCAGCTGAGACAAGCTGAAGAAAGTTCTCATGTCATTATGGGACACAGGCAGGGCAGATCCATGGATGGCATGGTCTCTCTTGCGCTCGGGAGTGCTGGGCTTATGTCTCCTGAACATGGCTGGAACAGAGCACTAGGGCATGTCATGTCAGTGCTGGACACCTCCAAGTTATCCCTGCACCAGTTAAATACAAGCTCTGGCTGATGGCACATGAAAGGTCAAGTGGCATTCCATTTGGAGAGTCTCAGTTTTATATAGCAGGATTGGAACAATAGCTTTCTAATCCGTAACTATATTTAGCCAGCTATTGTGTTGTGCTGTATTAACCGTTTTTATTTTATTTTAAACATGGTGTTTGAAACAACATGTCCTGTTCAGTTGCTTATCTTGCTTCCCTAATAATTGCAAGCCTGTCCTTTAAAAAAAAATACAACCTACAAGTCGAAAAGAACTGGAAGTGATATGCAATGAAAAATGTCATCATTATCTATAGAAGCTGGGTGTGCAAACAGGTCCAATTATGAAAATGCAAGTCAGATGTCAGCCACGTGGGAGTTGTTGCTTAATGCAGAGCATATCTATACTAAGCTTGGAATGCCAGTCAATTAACCAGTCCAATATTGTCAAATGACTGCCAAATATTGTCAAATAGTCTGTGAAGCCAAGAATAACCTTGTGTAGGTGGGTGACTTTTTATTTTAATTGCAGCCTCCTGTCATCTGATAGCAAAAGCAAAGGAGGGAATGATCCTTCCTTCGTAAGCTTATAGGAAAACACACATGCACACACATGCACGCACACGGACACACAGACCAATTTCTTTGGACTGGTTATTTTAACCAAGGAGGCTTGCCTGTCTGAGGGTGTATCAAGATTTCTGGGGAGGCTGTGTGGTGTGAAAAACAGATTTTCAGTGTTGTGTGTTTATTTTTTAAAAGTGGGAGAGAAATAAATCTGTTCATTGCTTTCTGGCTATGCAGCTAATTGGGAATATTGGGCCCTGTTTTATATTGAGTCAGTTCTTTGAACCATCTTGCTCAGTACTGACAACTTTGCTTGGCAGCTGGTCTCCCAGTTAAGGTACTAAATAGCCTAATTTCTTCTATCAGACAAGAGTGATTTGTTCAGGGGACGTATAATGGCGCTGTGGGGGGAGAGTTTGCATTATCCTTTGATGGATGATACTTCACCAATTATCTTTCTTTGATCTTCATTTGTCCAAAATCTTATTGCAAAATATCAGGTGTGTCATAGTTCAGTTTTCCCAATTTGCCAGCTGCCAGGTTTGCACTTAATGACAGGATTGGTCACATGCTCAGTTGCACAACTAGAGGTCTATAAAGGATGAGAAAGACAGACAGTAAGCCTTCTCCTATTGCTTGTGTGTTTGCTTTAATGTGATCGTATAATCCAACAGGATTCTCTCCTTTATCTCTGAATTACTCTTCACTGTGGAATTCACTGCATGTGACTGGTGAGACTCTATACCTGCACTCAAAGTTCCCCCACTAAATCCACCGCTCTCCAGCACCAAACTCAAATCTTTCCTTTCCCATGGCCTAAATTAAGCAGTATCCACATCTTTTTTACTTGCCTTTTCCAAACAACATCGCAGTATTTCAACATTTAAAACAAAATTATTGGAGGAGGCAGGTTTGAAAGGAGGAATGTGATTTTTATGTTTATCAGAAGGGGCCATGAATTAAAATAGATTGAGAAAACCTGCTTTAGATTAAGCTGCCTCTCCATCCTGACTGCTTCATCCCTGGTCTTGTGTAGTAGTAATCCAGTCACAACACTGAGAATATGGAATTAGTGATGCCCTCTTAGTGACATCCATGTCTTTAATATAAGGCTCAAATAAATTATATTTCTATTGACATTAACTCACACTGAAGGCCATGGATGCTCAAAGTAATTAGCAAAAGAAATCATGTTAGAGTAGAGTACCAAAATTTAATGCTTTGCATGAATGCATCTCTGAAATAATCCAATATATCTTGCTGGACATCAAACTCATGGTGAAATTATTCCATGCTATATATGAAAAGCCATTAAGGTAAAATAGTCAGGCCATTATTAGACAAGAAGTTTGAATTGATTTTTATTTAAAATTGCTTTGTAATAGAACTGTAAAACATGTCATTACTCTTTCTTCTGCATTCTAACATCTCCTTGAGCTGTGGCTGAGCTAAAGCTTCGGCAGCGTGGCTCGCCTTTGGCTCCCTCCCTGGATAACATGAGACCTGGCCAGCAGAGGTGGTAGAGAAAGCTTTAGGGAGTTGTAGTCCAAGAACATCTGGAGGCCCAAGGTTGGGAACCACTGCTGTAGAGCATCTTGAGTGCTGTCATTGGTATTGTCAACATTCAGGCTGCCCCCTCACTATGTAAAGTTTGGCATCCTTTTTCCCACTGGCAACGTAGCATAAAGCGGGTGGTAGATAATGATATTTGACAAGGTGCCAACATTTTTAGCTATGACTCCACAATCCAATATTCTATGCACTAGACCACTTTGTTTCTTACTCCTGTAAAGACAAAATGGTAAAAGACTCATCACGTTCACTTGTGATCACAGAAAATATAGCAGAGCTGGGTATAATAGTCAAATTTTATACTGGTGTACAATTATATGTATAATATTATATAACATTATTTTCAATATTGCTGAAGGAACCAATGGGATTTAATTGACTCCTTCCAGTGTTCCTTCCCTATATAGTTTTGCCGACCAATATGAATTGACAATTTTGTTTCTTTTATTGTTAATTTTGTTGCTTTGCTTTGAAGGGGGTTTCTGCTAGCTTTCTCCTATATTGATCTGATTGAGAATTCTGCCACCCATACCCTGTTTACCTCTCCCCAACCCCAACTGGAGATGCCCCCAATCTACCACAAATAAGGTGCAGAATTATAGAGTGCCATTCTTGCATTGGCTGAGGGCAGGGTATTGAGACAGCAGATATGATCAGAGTTTTGGATCCCTCTTTTTTTAGTGACATGACATCTCTAGAGATCAGAATGATCTTCTCCTACTCATACTGCTTAACAGTGTATTTTCTTTTCTCTTGTCATTCTCCCCTCCCCTCTTTAGGACAAATGGTGTGCTGCTTTTGATCTCCAGCACTTTTGAGGGCACAAAATATTCACAGCTCCTGTCAATGGGACGTCACCTATCACTATGTGACTTACACATTCCAAGCTTCTGCTTAGAAGCAGGATGCTTCCTCCTGCACAGAAATCTTGATATGGAGAATCTCTGAATGAGTGCAACCTACTGATGCTGGGAAATGGAGGTGTTACAACTGGGTTTAAGTGTGTGTCAATCTACAGATAAACAATCTGAGCCATATTTAGGCAACAGAGTATATGTCCAGTTTCAGAGATGGGGAGTCCAATCAGCTGTCATTGATCTCACAGTGGGATCATGGTACCATTAGAACAAGAAAGCTATAGCTGGGACCCTGATGCCTGATGGCATGCCTGTTTTGAAAATAAGGGGACCTTCTGATATACTTCCCGATATGGTACAAGAAGCAAGTGTTTCAAATAAAGAGCTAAAATTTTGACAAAGCATGTCTACTTGTCAGATACCTCTAGTGTAGCTCTTTTGTGTGTAAATAATAATGGGATTTTATTTTAAATGTTTGAGTAAATTACCAAAAATATTTTCCCAGATCTCTTTCTGGCATGAGCAGGAAAAAAAATACTGGAATATTTTCACTGCTCTTTAAATAATGTGTTGATGTGTTTATCAGTATCTTCTTGCTTGAAATGGCAGCTCACATTGTGGATTGATAAAAGTGTCTCAGACTTACATTACACAGGACATTAAATATGTAGCATGCAGCTGAGCTACAGTTTCTTGCTCATTTATGAGTAGCTTGCAGGGGCCTGATCTAGACTGGGACCATGGATTCTGGTAGGGATCCTGTAAGGTTTACCCCCATCACCACTCTCTTTCCCAACTTCACACCTGCAATCAGATTTCCTTTCATTTTTCAACTCTGTGCACAAGGAAAAAGTGCCTGAGGAGAATTGTATCTCTCTCCATCTACCTACAATGGTTCTGGCCCATATAAGGGCCCCAAAAAACATCTCATAACTGGGAGGAAAACATATCCAGAGCATAATACTGGATGTGATTGTGGAAATCTTTGAATAGATTGCAAAGTTGTGTTAGGTGACCTAAGTATAATTTAGAGAAATTGAATATTTATCTACTGAAGTAACAACACATGGATATGGAGAAAGCCAAACCAGAGAACATGCATATGATGCTAATTATGTCCTGTAATATACACAAAAGAAGATCTTGTTGAGGAGAAAGATAATCCTATTAATATAGCATGATTTTATTATTTTATTATATGATTTTATTGAGGAGAAAGACAATTCTATTAATATAGCATAATTTAGCAAAATTATTTAATATATTTCTTTTAATATATAGTTAATCACATATTGTTTTACTTCATACATGTTCTTGTTTAATATTTTAATGATTTTTAATGTCTTATGAGTGAATATAAACATAATCTTTCTCTGTTTTACAAAAGCTCTGAGACAAATAAAATTTACCCTGAAGAAATGAACAACAGAGACTGTGTTTTATTTGTTTTCAGCTACCTTGTTAATTGGCTGTTATTTACTGACTCCGTAATTCTTCTCAATTAATCTTCTCACCCCCTGAAGTCTCTATTAGAGCCTTTTTCTCAAGCGGAGAATGTGAGATGGCGACTCTCGGGCAAAAATATGGTTTTCTATTGCCCAGATAAAATGGGTTTTAGGGAAATATGTCTTATCATGAAATTTGTTTCCTTTTTCTGGAGAAAAACTTTGAGTCACACACAAACAAAAAACTATGAAGGGTAGATTTATGAATAACACCTTGTAGCAGACAGAGACAAATTTAAGTGGAAACTCCCTTTGTGAATGGGTATGGTCTACTTAGCGATCCGGGTAGAACTAGTTGGGAGAAGCTGGTCTGCTTTGACATGTACAAGATATTATGTGGCTATTGGTTGATTGCTTTGTTCATTTTGTAAACATTTCTCTTAACTTACATTGTTTACTGAAAACAAACTTTTTCCCCATACTCTTGCAAAGACATTTCCCAAAGAGAGATTTTTCAAAGCAGAAGGTAATGGTTGAAGCTAACTATGAGAAAATAAGGATATATAAATCAGAGATCAGCCCCCTAGTCCTCAT